CGTTCGACCAGACGGCTCGGGGTGACGGTTGCCCTCGCGCGGCCGGGACAGGCTGCGGCACAGGGACGCAGACAGAGCCCAGGGAAGAGGCCGCAGAGACAACGACGGAGCCGCCGTGCGGGGGGGCGGGGCAGGCGCCGGTCGGAGAGGACATGCTCTGCGAAGCTGACTCCGGCGAAGGGGTCGTGCTCGCCGTCGCGCGGGAAGCCTGCGAGAGGGCGGGCCGGAGGGGGGGTAGGGGGGGGGAGGTCTACCGCGCTCACCCCTGCACGCACCGGGCGGCGGGGCTGGGCCAGGCGGGCGCAGGCGGGCTGGGCAGGCATGGCTGGGCCAGGCGGGCTGGGCTGCCAGCGTCGGTGATGAGTCCGATGATGTTGTCCGAGTAGCGCGAGTAGATGTCGGCAGCCTCCTCGAAGTTTGTGCAGAGCAGCACCTGCCGGGGCGAGGGCATGCCGGAGGCGCTGCAGCGGCGCCCGCATCTCGGCCGCATCTCGGCCGCATCTCGGCCGCATCTCGGCCGCATCTCGCCTTTGGACGCGACTTCATCCGGAGCATGCGCTCGCGGAGGGTCATCGTCTCGCCGCGCAGCGACTGGTTCTGCTTCCAGAGCTCGAGGTAGAGGGTGGGCAGGTACGAGCCTCAAGGCGCGGGGAAGAGGGCTTGCTCTAGATGGCTTGCTCTCGGGGCGGTCCCGACGGCGGCGGCGCGCTGCGGCGATGGCGGGCGTGGCGGGCGGGGCGAGCGGCGCTGTCTCGCCGCGCTGTTGCGCGCAGTGGGAGAGTTGTCCTCGACGAGGAGGTGACTCGGAGGTGTCTCGGAGGTATCTCGGAGGTATCTCGGAGGTGTCTCGGAGGTGTCTCGGAGGTGTCTCGCAGGCTCTCGCACTGTAAAACTTGACGTTGTCCTCGACGAGCAGGATGGACTGGACGCCGTACTCCGAGTCGTTGGCCGCGTTGAGCCGGTCCTCCACCGCCTTGAACATCGCGGTGAAGAGCGACACGTTCCCTTGCCAGACAAAGGGCCACACCCAAGCGTCTGCGACGCGCGCGGAGCTGCCTGCGCGGCTGTCGACGGCCGCCGTGCCCGCCTTGAGGGCGGCGTCGCCAGTCTCCCACATGAGGCGCTTGTTGACGTTGATGCGCAGGTTGCGGTCGATGCGCGAGTCGATCGCCGTCAGCTCCGACGGCGAGAGCGCGAGCAGCCCGATCGGCAGCGCCGGGTTGACTTGCTGCACCGACGAGACGAACTCGCCCGTGTTCATCGTGCGGCCCTCGCTGCGGAGGAGCGTGATGATCATGTCGAAGTTGGTCGGGTCGGCGCGCACCCGCGCGAGCGCCGCCTCCGGCGTCGAGACGCGCTCGATCGTCGGCGGCTTGGTCAGCCCGCTCTCGGCGTACTCCTCGTCAACCAGCTCCGTGAGCAGCCCGTCCTGCTCGAAGGTGTACGAGTCGTAGTCGGAGCAGACGAGGAGGACCCGCTGCACCTTGCGGCTCTGCAGCCGCTCGAACTCCTCCACCAGCCGCGATGACACCTCCTCCTTTGGCCTGCCGTCTCCTTTGGTCGAGGCGCGGAAGCGAGAGAGCACCGCCTCGAGCTGAGGCTCGAGCCGCAGCTTGGGCGTCGCCATGGCGCTCCGCAGACGGCTGGCGCCGGACGAGGCCAGCCCGGGCAGCAGGCCACGCGACCGCAGCAGGGCGGACCGCATCGCGGCGGCTGCGCCCAACAAGGGCAATCACCGGCACAACAAACGGCGTTGAGCCAGGGTGAGAAATCTGCGCCAATGTGCTACTCGAGTAACACGGACCGGACGGTGTATGTGGGGCGGCGTCGGCGAGCGAGCGCCTCTTCCTTTGTTGTTTGTCGTTCGTTCGTTCGTCCACCAACCACACGCATCATCCATGGCTGCAGTGGCGGGCGACGCCACCAACACAACAACACAAACTCTCTCCAACACACCAACACCAACCAACACAAGTAGGCGCGCATTGAGCTCATGAGCTGGCATTGAGCGTACCAATTAATTGGGTCATACATAGCACCATGGATCCTTTCTGGTCCATCCCCTTGAGCGAGCCGGCCATGTCGTCTGCCTCGAAGCTTGATCTGCTTAGGATACCCATCACTGAGCCGACAATGCTACGGGTAGCCCCAGGGTGGCGCCCACCCCCATGCCCTCGGGCACTTGCCTGCGCCCTCGCGCACTAGCCCACGCCCTGCCCCGCAAGATCTCACTCCATCCCGGCCTGCGGCATACCTCGGCACCCCCTTGCACGGAATCTGAGCGTGAGGGAATCTGAGTGTGAGGGAATCTGAGCGTGAGGGAACCTGGGCAGTGCCGCGTAGTGGGGCGTGCGCGGGGCGTGCGCGGGGCGTGCGCGGGGCGTGCGCGGGGCGTGCGCGGGGCGTGCGCGGGGCGTGCGCGGGGCGTGCGCGGGGCGTGCGCGGGGCGTGCGCGGGGCGTGCGCGGGGCGTGCGCGGGGCGTGCGCGGGGCGTGCGCGGGGCGTGCGCGGGGCGTGCGCGGGGCGTGCGCGGGGCGTGCGCGGGGCGTGCGCGGGGCGTGCGCGGGGCGTGCGCGGGGCGTGCGCGGGGCGTGCGCGGGGCGTGCGCGGGGCGTGCGCGGGGCGTGCGGGGGGCGTGCGGGGGCGTGCGTGACGTCCGTCTTTGTCTTGTCGTCTCGTCGTTCCTTGATCCACGTCTATCGCGTCGTCTCCGACGGTGTCTCCGCACTCCGCGATATCGCGGGCTAGCGCCTGCATGTTGGCAATCGTTCGGTGCCAACGGTACATGAACGGTTTGTTTTGGTTGTCTGGTGGCCTGGAGCCTGACGGTGAAGCCTCACTGAGGTCTGAGCTCTGTACTGAGGAACAACACAAACTCTCTCTCTGAGGAAGGCGCGGGGGCTTGCTCTGATTTTCGGAGTCTCCGACGCCACACTTCGACTGTGAAACCCTCTCGCTCGCGCTAACACGGGCGCGCTTCTTCTTTTCTCTCGGCTTGTCCATGGCTTGTCACTCCGCGCTGGTTCACTCCCGCCCGTGAAAGCATCCCTATATAGGAAGCCAAGAACAAGCAAGCCGCAGACGGCCTCTTACATTCGACACCACAGTGGGGGGTGCCGGTGTCGCCTATAGTTGCCCCCGGGGGGGGCGTGGACGGGCCCCCGGCCTCTCTACCGGTACCCTATATTCCCACCGACGCTGCCGATCACTTGTCATGTGTGTGTGTGTGTGTGTGTGTGTGTGTGTGTGTGTGTGTGTGTGTGTGTGTGTGTGTGTGTGTGAGAGAGAGAGAGAGGGAGAGAGAGAGAGAGAGAGAGAGAGAGAGAGAGAGAGCGTTAGGTGGGCGTATTATCACGGCCGCTTCTCTTTCGATCCCTAAAATCTCTTTCCTCGCTGTGCTCCTTTTTGGGAGTTTTAGATAGTTTTGGTACCTTTTTCGAACCTGTGTCGGTGAGAGAGACCCCGCCATGGTTGAATTCTCTTTCCTCGCACGACTGGGAAACCTCTCTTCCTGAGCCTGTGGCAAATTCTATCCGCTCGAAGTTAGGAAGGCAATCATCTTTCCCAGTGTCGTGAGAGGAGCAACTTGGAGCACTTGGAGTCCTCAGTGCAGTTATCAACCGCACACCCAGGGCTGGGGGAGCTGAGAAGCGCACCCAGCGGGCCGGATGATTGGCATCGGGTTGCGGGCAAGAAAGCCCTAGCCCTGGGGGGTGCACGTTCGCAGGGAAGGGGCCATAAAGTAAATAATCACGGGTCACCGGAGGCGCGAGGCGGCTAGTACCGCGCTCCGGGTTTCCCCTAGCAGCGGAACGCCCCCTCTACTCGGAGCTAGCAGACACCAGACACTGGCACGACACACACACATTCGCTACCCAACGCGGCCAAAGGATATCCACCTCGAGAACCTCGAGAACACAGAAAGAAAGAAAGAAAACAGACAACCCAAGGGAGGGATGGGAGGACGGCACGCCTCGAGAACACATGGGGAGCACTGTGCAGAGCAAAATTCTCTTTCTCGCTTCAACCTTCGTGCCACCTCGCGGTCGCCCCCTTCTCGTCGTGGTCTCCCTTGTCGCTTCTTCCTCTGTCGCGTCGCTCTCCTCTGCCTCGTCCTGCGACGGCGCCGCCGCCTGCCGCTCCCTTGCTCTCGCTGCTCGGCGCAGCTCTGCCCTCCTTGCTGCATATCCTGGCCCCTCGAGTCTATCGAGCTCTCCTCGAGCAAGGACGAGTCTTCTGACGCCCACTGCTTGCCATGGATGAAAAGAAAGAAAGAAAGAAAACAGACAACCCAAGAGAGGGATGGGAGTACGGCACGCCGCCACCACACAGGGATTTTAAGGAGAGGAGTGTGATGCGCTAGCCGTCGCCGATGAGCAAGGTGCACACGCGGCGTGTGAAAATTCTTTCTGCACTCTTCTCGGCGCCGAGGGAGTCTCTCGTCGCGTTCCGACGCCTGTGCGCGGCACCATGCTGCTCCGCTCCGCGCGCGGGGCCCTCGGGCTGTCGCACGGCCGCGTCCGCTGCATGTCGAGGATCGGGCGCGTCCCGGTCAAGCTGCCCGAGGCGGTCAGCGTCCGGGTCGAGCCGTACGCGGCCGGCTCGCTGCACCCGATCAAGCCGCCGACTGCGCACCGGCTGCGGCAGATGATGAAGCGGCGGCCAGACAAAGACTCGTTCCAGGCGTTCGGCACGCCGCACCGCGTGGTCGTGAACGGCCCCCTGGGCGAGATCGCCGTCCCGGTGCACTCGTTCGTGGACGTGGCGCAGCCGGACGCCGAGACGCTGCAAGTCAGCGCAAAGTGCGGCGGCACGACACGGCTGGGCAAGACGATGTGGGGGACGACAAAGTCGTACATCGCCAACGCCGTGCGCGGCGTCTCGCAGGGCTTCCGCAAGGACCTCGAGCTGCAGGGCGTCGGCTTCCGCGCGCGGATCGAAAAGGCGGACGGCGCCCTGTACCCGGTCGAGACGCTGGTGCTGCGGCTGGGCTTCACCAACGAGCTGCAGCTGCCCGTCCCGCCGGGCATCGAGATCTCGTGCCCGACGCAGACCACGATCGCCGTCTTTGGCTTCCGCAAGCGGCAGGTCGGGATGGTGGCGGCGCAGATCCGGAGGTTCCGCCCGCCCGACGCGTACAAGGGCAAGGGCGTGCGCTACGTGGACGAGGTGGTGCGGCTGAAGCCGGGCAAGCGGCGGTAGTGCTGGGTAAGTTTTTTTTTATCGTAGCAATCTTCGTTGTGTGCTGTTGTGTGCGAGAGGTGGCGAGCGGAGCAAGTGCGGTGTAGGCGCGCCCACGCGGCGCAGCGGCTCTCCCGCGACCATAGCCCCTCCCGCAGCCGCAGCCGTAGCCGCAGCCCCAACTCTTGCTCCTCTTCTAGTGTCGGGTAGCGACCACGCGGGGAGGGGACGGATTGAGTGATCCCTCGCACCAAGATCGTGCAGCGACGGCACATGTTCCTGAAAAATTGTGTACATCATGCATGTGCTGTCGCTCGCGTCCTGCGCTGTCGTCTGCTCGTGGAGTGCCGCTGCTCCCGCATTCCATCTCTCCGTGAGCCCGCGCATGGACCGGGCCGTGAGCCCACGCATGGACGGGGTGGGTGCAACGTCTGGCGCCGGCAGCGCACGCGCCAGCGGGAGCACTCCCATCGCGCTGTCCTACGGTGCCGCCGCCGGCGTTCTGATGGCCGTCTCGCTCGGCGGCAGCGTTGCGTTCGAGCGCGCCGTCCTCGGCGCGACAGGCTTTGCGCTGCTGTGCGACTTTGGCCCGTCGGCTAGCCGAGACGTCGCCGCCTCCAACCGCGCCACCGCGCTGGCCGTGGACGACCTGATAGAGGCCTCTCCCGCGGCGGTGCTCGTCGATAACTTTGTTCACAACCTCGGCGCGGAGGACGAAGCGCAGCGCGAGGCGCGAGCGCAGGCGCAGGCGAAGCTCCGCGCGTGCCAGAACTGGGCCTGCTTCGTGCGCTCACGCGTCGCTGCGGACGCGGCGGGCGCCGCCCTCATGCTCCGGAACGGCGGCGCCTGTCTCGGCGCCTCGTGCATGCTCGCCGCACACGCCGCGTGCTGGGCGTGCGGCTACGCGGCCTCGCGCGTCGACCGGGACGGCAACCCGGCACCTATATCGCCGCCGCTGGCGCGCACCCTCGCCGCCGTTGTGGGCACGCTCACAGGGGCAGCTGCGATGGGCGCCTTCGCCGGCAGCGAGCTGCTTCGCGCGATCGGTGGCTGGGGCTACGCCGCCGCCCTCGTGGCGATCGAGCTGGCCCGCCTCGTCGCCGACCGCGTGCGATCGCGCACCCACGTGGGACTATAGCCGGCGTCGGTATGTGGGACACGACCAGCTGCTTGCACAGGTCAAACACGGTGGCCACACTGTCCATAGGCATAGCGCCCTTGGTGCACTTGGAGTGCAGTCGGTAACCTCACATCTAGGGCCGGGGGGCTAAGAAGCACTGTACTTTAATCTTTATGGAAGGAAAATGAGAGAAAAATCGGCACACAAAAATCAAGGTCGAGCCGCCTGTAACTTTAAGAAAAAGCAAGATGTTCACTTGTTCACAGCCAAATTAAGTTTAAGAGAAGGAGCTCCCTTGCGTTTCTAAAGTCTTAAGCGCCAGATGCGAGATGGTGGTTGGTGCCGGTGGCAGCTCTGTTCCGTGTTCGGCTCCACTCGCACTCGCTCCGCTCGGCTCCGCTGTCCGCTCGGCTCCACTCGCCCGACTCGGCTCCGCTCCCTCGGCTCCGCCCGGCTCCGCCCGGCTCCGCTCGGCTCCGCTCGGCTCCCCTCGGCTCCACACTCGGCTCCACTCGGCTCCACTCGGCTCGCTCGGCTCCGCGCTCGGCTCCGCCCTGAGGGTGTGCATGACCTAGCTGAGCGCCACAAGCCCAGCTCGTCAGACCTGGCGCTAAAGACTTAGCGAGGCAAGGGATCTTGAGGAAGTGAGGTACTGCTCCGTTCACCCTGATCTTGCTGAGCAAATTCCTCTTGTAGCTCGATCGGTTGTCACACCGCCATCGCCGTCGGGGAGAGGGGGGCCGACGCTGCTTCCGCAGCGTGCACCTCGATCCTGTACCGTGTTTGTTATGACCCCCCCCCAATGAACACACCAGCGAGGGACGTCTGAACCACAGCGTGTCCCGGTCCATAGTTTCTCTTCTATCCGTTAGCGTTACCATGTAGAGCAAGGTCGAGGGCGGGCCCTTTCGGGCTCGGGCCGCCCTCTCGCCCGCACCTCTGCGGGGCTTGCACGAGGGAGGGCGAGACGATCGAGGGGTCCCGTACCACGCGGAATCGACCCAATCGAGTGCTACAGTTGTAAAGGGATCTCAAGAAAAATGTTGCTTGGCGGTAGGTGAGGTCGAGCCCTGGTTCACCCTCTGATGTCCGCCGAGCCCGATCGTGAGCCGCTGCTCGCTCTGGACGTCATCGATGTGGACATTCTCCCCGTCGTGGCGCGCGTGTCGGCCTCTCCCACTCTCCTCTTTGCGCTCCGCCGCGTCTGCAAGTTGTGGCGCGATGCAGTCGATGGAATTGACAGGACGAGCAGCGTTTGGCAGGAGCTGCTGTCGGCGTTCGGCGTGCAGGGGCGGCTGCCGCCCGAAGCGGATAAGAAGGCAGCCTTCGTGATGCTGCTGTGCGAGCCTCGAAAGCTCCTCCGCCGCTGCTCGGTGCATGTCACCGCGGCGCCCCGCGTCGCGCGCCTGGACGATCTGCCGCGCGAAGAGCTCGCCGAGCTCGCCGCACGCATGTGCCAAACGAGCGCGGACGCGCTCGCTCTCGCCGACACTACCCTCTCTGGCGTGGATGCGGAGGGCGAGGCGGCAGCTGAGACGGGCAGCGCAGGCGCGGGCGTGTCATGAGGCGGGGGGGGGGGAAGGCGGCTCTCGCTTTATCATGCGAGAAGCTATGCTAGGCGGGGGGAGAAGGCCACTCTCGCTGATCTTGCGAGAAGCTATGCTCGAGGACCTTGTCGGGCTGCTGGGCTGGCTGATGGCTGTGGGCGAGGAGGCTGCCACCAGCTGGCGCCTTCTGGCCAACGACGTCCTCCTGCGGATACCGCTCTGTGAGCCGGCGCTCGCTTTGTTTGGCGTCTTGATCGAAGTGGCCGCACGCGGAGAGCGGTCTGCGTGGATACCGGCGCGGATGTACGACGAGTGGCAAACGTGCGCGCCGGCGCTCGCGTGCCGAATAGCCGACCGTGTGCGGGGCCTGTCCGAGGACGACAAGCGGCACGCTCTCGCGTCCCTCGAAAGCCTCAGTCGCAAGGTGGGTGTGCGGCTTCTGGGAAGCCTTAACAACAACTATGCCAGGCGGCTCAGCCTTCCCACCACGGCGTCAGTAGGGCAGGCCGCGTGCGACCTTCTTCGGACAAGGCTGCACTCGCCGCCTGCTGTACTCTGACTATGATATCTCCGTAGCCCCCACAACCGCCCCACCCTGAGCCCTGGCTGTCAGGCTGTCAGGTGCAGTGAGGTGATCTGTCGGGCTGTCGGGCACTCTCTGTCAGGCACTGTCAGGTGCCTCAGAGGCACAGCCCCCACCGCCGGGGCGCCGCGCGGGGCCGATGTGATCGGAGAGATCCAACTTCCATGTAGCATGTTCCAAGTATTTCACATTTCCAAAAGATCGACGACACACAAAAATGAAAGTAGGGAGGCTCGGAGCGGGATTCACTGACCACCCACTGAGCTCTGTCTCCCCGCCGTTCCGAATACGGTCCGAACCGCGAACCCGAACGCGCGCGCGGCGGGCGCCGAAGCGCCGCGTCACAACGCGGTCCCGCATTGTGGTCATGCAACGTGCCAAGCGCGCGGACACGGAGACAACGCCACCATGTGGCCTACCCCAGCACAACCCCGACGGGGGCAAAGACCGCCCCGTGCTCTCCGTTCCCGCAGAAGACGTGAGCGCCCACAGACGGAGCCACCCCTGGCGCGCTCGCGAGCAAGTCGAGGCAGAGGACCAACCGCCACGCCTCGCCCGGCCGCCCAACGAGCGCGCGCGCGGCGTCGGGCTCGAGCGGGGGCGCGGCGGCGGGCGCCGCCGCGAAAGCGTCCGCCACGAGGCCGCCGGGAGGGCCAGTGCCGAGCCCCGGCGTCGCAACCGCCCACCCAACCACGCGCTGGCCTGCGCTGCCCTCGTCGGTGTCCTCGTCGGCCTCGACTCCTCGCACGAGCCCCGCGATCGCCTCGCCGATGCAGCCCACCCCCTCGCTCGCGACAGGCGCACAAGCGGCCACTGCAAGCACGGCGGCCGCGCCGTCGCTGGGAGTCGGCGGGCCGTCGCTGGGAGTCGGCGGGAAGTCGCTGCGCAGCAGACGGCTCAGCCGCCATCCCCCGGCGCCGGCACCAGCCCCCTCCTCACTAGCCCCCTCCTCGCAAGCGGCGGCGACCGCGGCGTCTCGACTCACGAGCAGCGGGGCGAGGGCGGCAGCCGGCACGACCAGGGCGGTGCCGCCCGCCGCCTCTGCAGCGCGCGGCGCGGCGCCCG